TCTACATTGTAATATATACTCATTGGAAAATATGACAAATAATGCTTTATCTTATGTTAATGTGTCATTTGTTAAACAGGAAAAGGCTGAAATTTGTTTTAATATATTTTGTTTATTATTAAGTGAACTACATAAGTAATTTAAAAATAGAGTATATTGGGCGCCTGGGTGGCTCAGTTGGTTAAGCGACTGCCTTCGGCTCAGATCATGATCCTGGAGTCCCGGGATCGAGTTCCGCATGTGGCTCTCTGCTCGGCAGGGAGTCTGCTTCTCCCTCTGACCTTACCCCCTCTCGTGTTCTCATTCTCTCGCTCGCTCTCAAATAAATAAAATCTTAAAAATAAATAAATAAAAAATAAAAATAGAGTATATTTTACTTAAAATTATTCCTTATACCACACAAAATCTATTTTAAAAAAACAAATGAGAATGGGAAGTGCTGATTCTTTTTACATGACCTAATATATGACCTTTGGGAGACCTACTATTTGTAAATAAAGGACTTTGGTATAGTAAATTTACTTTAATATTCTCATAAATCCCTAACAGCAACATATGTGAGAACTGAGGCTCAGTGAGCAAAACTGCAAAGCTATTAGTGATTCTGTGCTTCTTCTACAACTCCATAGTAATGCCTCTAAGGAAAATTCACTTCGCCAAAAAGTGGTGTACTCTGGCACCACTCTAACTTTGTATTTTATTTCCTTATATTCTCCTTCTTCTAGTTTAAATCACCACCACCAAAACAAGCCTAGGGTGAAAGTTCACACACTTATTTTCAGCTAGACTAGTGCAATAGCTCTTCCCACACCAAAACATGTTTCCTATTGATTTAGAGTGATAACCTCCAAAATCTCTTAATTATGATATTCCTTCACACACAAAAACAAGGTACTCTGGGTCTTTACAGTGAGGCCAAAACTCCTAAGCCTATGACTCAAGGTTCTCCATGATCTGACCCTAGGCTCACCCAGTCTCATCTTCTCCTGAACCCTCAATACTAGAGCCACCCATTTCCCAGAATACATCATGCCTGCTTCGGTCCCAGTTTTTATGCTCAAGCTGGTCCCTTTGCCAAGAATGGCCTTCCTTCCCAAACTCTTATCCAATAAACCCCCACTTGTTAAAACCCCCAATTCAAATGTCCCTTTTTCAACAATGCCTCCCTGACTTTCTGATCATCCCCAGTCATTTATTCATTTAACAAATATTTATTGAGCACTTACAATGCACCAGATACTATGTAAGCGTTAAAGATACAATGGTGAGCCAAACAAACATGGTCTCTACATTCACAGAGCTAGTATTTTTCTCATTGGGTTGCTATGAGGATTAAATGAGATAAAATATATAAAGCACTTAAAACAGCATTTAAAATACACAACCATGCTCAATAAATATTAGCCTAACCATACTATCTAAAATAGTTGCCATACACTCATATACCTTTGACCCTTAAACAGCACAGGTCTAAATTGTGTGGGTCCACTAATACACAGATTTTTTTACAGTATGGTACTGTAAATGTATTTTCTCTTCCTTATGATTTTCTTAGTAACACTTTTTCTCTATAAGAATACAGTTTATAATACATACAACATACAAAGTATGCATTAATTGACTATGTCACTGGTAAGGCTTCCAGTCAACAGTAGGCTATTAGTAGTTAAGTTTCTGGAGAGGTAAAAGTTATACTGGGATTTTTGACTGCACAGGGGTTGATGCCCCTAACCCTGGCAATGTTCAAGGGTTAACTATACAATGTCACTTTATATTTTACCCTGATTTATTTCTTTTTAGCACGTATGACTGCTTCTCATTATAATTACAATTGATATGTATTCTATGAAAGAGGGCTACATAATAGAGGGGGTGTGACTTAGGGGTCTTCTGAGGGGGTAAGCAAGGCAGATGAGGTTTCCCTGAGTTTTCTGAGAACTCCAGGATATGCAGAGTTAAGCAGGCAAAAGAGGTACCACCACAGGTCATTCACTGTGCCATTTTTCTTATCTGTTTTCCACAATACAACTCCTATAATTTAATCTTTCAGTTTTCTTCCTAAAAGCAAAATCCTGAGAAGCCAGCTGTGACTATCCCATACCATGATCCTACAACTTTTCCTTTCTTTGCACGCTTTGCATTTAAAATTAGTCTTTTTGCTTGATGTCTAGACTGTCCACACATACAATATACAAAAAGGCAGGGATCATATCTGTATTATTTGTAATATCCCCAGTGCCAACACAGTCAATGGCACTCAAAAAAAAAAAAATAATAAAAAGTAAGAACTACATCTTAAACCCGTGGTTCTCAAAGTGTTGGTCACAGAACAGAGAACATCAGCATAACATGAGTACTTGTTAGAAATGCAAACTGGGGCGCCTGGGTGGATCAGTCGGCTAAGCATCTGCCTTCAGCTCAGGTAATGGTCCCAGGGTCCTGGGATCAAGCCCCGCATCAGGTTCCCTGCTCAGTGCGGAGTCTGCTTCTCCCTCTCCCATTCCCCCTGCTTGTGTTCCCTCTCTCTCGCTGTGTCTCTCTGTTAAATAAATAAATAAAATCTTAAAAAAAAAAAAGGAAAGAAAGAAATGCAACTATCAGGTCCTACTCCAACCTAATAAATCAAACTCAGGAAGTGGTGGCACAAACCCTCCAGCTGATTCTGATTTATGGTAAAGTCTGAGAACCCTTGTTTTAGACATCTTAACTATTCAAAACACAATAATGAAAATTTTGAAAAATATAAAATGCAAAGCTTTATAATAATGTTTAACTCTATTTACTGAGTGCCTACTACATATATTGCGTAAGGAAATAAAAAAGAGCAGCCTCACAGGTAATTCTCAGCTCATAATAAGCTAATATTTTGCCTTCTCTTCACTTCTCCCAGACATACCCTCTTAACTGCATGTATGTGGGGGTTTTTTTATTTTTGTTTTTAAAGGTTTTATTTATTTGTTTTAACAAGTAAAGAAAATCAAGTTAGTTGCGGGCAAAGTCGAAATTATAGCCATGCCTAATAAATCTTCCTAGTCACATTTCCTCATCTCTCCATGCTAAATAAAGGTAATCTGCTACCTACAATAGATCCTAATTACTTTCTACTCTCATTCACAACAAAGCATTCTTTGCCTTCCCAAAATGATCTATATAAACCATATTCATCTTTCTGGCCCAGCACAAATGACACCTTTGGATCCTAAATGCCCAGAAAGAGTTTAAATCTTCTCCCTCTGTACTCATACATTCATTCTCAGTGGGAGAACCAATGCTTCCAAAAACCTATAAATTTGGTGTCTTAGGCAGGACAGCTTACTTTATTCTAAAGAGATCATCGCATCTTACTACATTTATTTTTTGCACCAAAAATAAAATTCTCCAACTCACTCTTTCTATGTAGTCCTCTAGTTGTCTCAAATTTCAGTTTAAGATCATACTTGTCAGATAAGAAAATGAGAGCACAAAGTGAATCATTCAAGCATGGGTATGGCCTGGGCACTAGGAATAACAGGAATAAGTAGGCACAACTGCTGCCTAGAAAAACCCCACATTTCAGGGGGAGATACAGGTTACCACACAAAGGTAGTGTGATGGATTGTGTATGTGAAGGGTTGTTGTGGAGGCAGACACAGAAGAACCACCTAAAAATGCAGTCAGTCAAGAGAAAGTTCACAGATTAAATGATTTTATAATATACCACTTTCCTAAAAAATGAATAGGGTAAAAACAAAAACTGACTAACCTCCTAGAACATGATTACCAGGACTTAGTTTTGACTATAATATCATTCCTCCCACAGACCAAAATTTAGATTGCTGATATGATCAGCAATGTTTTTATTAAATGTACTGCAAACCATGTGTAACCCAACTCAATGAAAAACCAACTGAAGCCTCAACTTATTTTGAAACAGGAAGGAGAAAATTTGCAAATATAAGGGTCTCTCAACTAAAGGCAGAGAGAGCAAAACAAACGATGGTATCAGAAGGTATTAAAGAGACTGGCACAATCTGACTGCCAACCTGATTTTCAGTCTTCAGATGCTCTGGTCTCTGCCTCCAAACAAAAAACAAACCGTCTGTTCTGAGTAATAGTTAAGCTTGCAAATAAATATTTTAAAATTTCCCAAGCTGTACGTGCCTCCACATTAAAAGACGCTCAAAATTAAAAATTAAAAAAAAAAAACGTTTCAAAACATGTTTAATTATTTGTCAAAGGCTAGATATCTCAAAAGGTCATAGGACGGATGCTGGCCGTCACCCCATGCTTCACTCCAAAACACATTATCACCCAGGTTTTGCAATAACACTAGGCAATAAGGCGTCAGGCTCTCGCCAATACTTCTCATCTCCCCCTTCCCCTTTACAAAAAAGAAAAAGAAGAAAGCTTACAAATCCCTATCTGCCCGCCCCACTGTTCCTGGGAAGCAACTGCCCTCAAATTGTTCCTGCACAGACCCCTGAAGCCTTAGAAGGAAATGGGGACAGCTGTGAGTGCGGGGGAGAAACGGCACTGGATTAAGGGGGAGAGGAAATGTGGCTGGTAGAGGACGAAGGGGAGAAAGGATACGGAGAGGAGGGGGCAGTGGAGATAAAATAATGAAAGGGTGTAAGAAGCGAGAGCAAAAAGCAGGAGCGAAAAACAGGGAGGAAGAAGAGAGGAACAGAGATCCCAAAAGAGATAAAAAAGCAAAATGGTAGAGGAGAAAAGGAAGGTCGGGTTAAAGGACGAGGAGGGGGCGGCAACGGGGAACGCGAAAGAAGCTGTCACTGGGGGTGATAAAAAGGGTGTCACCGGGAAGGAGAGCGCTGGGGGGGGGATGTCACCCCAGCAGGTGGACGGGGAACAGGGGGAAGGAGAAGCGGGGGCGCCGAGGGGGACAGTAGCAAGGGGGTGAGGTAAAGGCAGGGGGCAGAAGGGGGCACCAGAGCTAGGGAGGGGCAGGCCGCGGGGGCTAGTGTGGCGTGCGGCTGAGGCTCAGGCAGGCCTCGCTCTCTCACCATGGCTGCGCCGGCCTGGTCCTCGGGCGTGCAGCCTCTGTCCTGGGTTCGGCGGCGGGCCGGGCCTGAGCCCGCCCCCAGGCTGAGCCGGCGCGGTGGCTCCAGGAGGCTCCGGGAAGCGGCGGCTCCGGGCTTGGCCCAGGCCTCGGCCTCCTTCCCTAAGAAGCTGGAAGGGCAGCAGCCGCAGCCGCAGCCGCAGCCCGAGCCGGAGCGCAAGACTCCGCCCCCGCGAGGCCCCGCCCCCACTGGCGAGCTGAGTTTGGTCCCGCCTCCGCCCTCACTGCGCAGACTCAGTCGAGGAGTCGCTACCGCGCGCCTGACCTCTGGGTTCTGCCCCTTGCCAGGCCCTTAAAGGAGCCACACCCCCTCAAATCGTAGCTTCCCTCTAAAAATAAGAGCTTTAGATATTACGTCATAACAGGAGATTGGAGCACTCACTCGTTTCAGTAATCTATAAGCCCTTGCGTTTCCGGTTCATTGTCATTCGTTACCATTGTCGTAATTCTTAGTGATTTCCGTTCTCTTAGGTAATTCTTTCAATGCCCTCACATCTCAGGTTCTCCTCTCCGCTAGGGATCACTCTTGCCTTAGCCTCTCATTTCCATGCTCTTACCTTAGATCTCCTTACCAATGATTGTAACCCCTGTATAATCTCAATTTTATTCATCCAACTCTCCCATCACACCCCCCTTCATTTCTAGCTCTCTTCCTCTAATACCCAAATCCAAAACTTCAACTCCTCCAAGACTCAAAATCCACTGATCCTACCACCTTTTCACTATTCCTTACATGGCCCTTTTATCCTCACTTCCGTCCTTGAACGTCCTTGAGTTTAGATTCTGTCGTCCATCATGAAAATCATTCCTAGGTATTAGCCTTCATTTCTCCAGTCCTGCTCTCCTTTCCTTGTGCTCACCTGATTAAACTCTAATCCTAAACCTGCAGCAAAACGGAGGAGAGTGGAGAAAAATTCAGAATCATACTGATTCTGATTCGGCTCTCTTTAAATCTGATAATCTATTATCCTCAAATAGGCCTCTAACGCTTAGCTACATTTCTCCAGTTCCACACACTGTCCCACCGTACTAGATGACTGTCAAACCTTCCTCATCCTCACTTAACTGATGATTTTGCTACTAATTCACTGAGAAAATGAAGCAAAAAAAAAAAAGAGAGAGAGAGATTGAGAGAGAACATCCACAGCCACCATGACTTCCAGCCTACCTCTAACTGCTCTGCCTATAATTCTGCTCCTATATTCTGCCTTCCTTTCCTTTAGTAGGCATGAGCCATTTGACTTTTAACTGAGGTCAAACTCTCCTTAGTTCTTCTCAAACTACCTGTGCTAAAAGACTTTTTTTTTCTCTGATCTCAAACCTAATTTTTGTAAAATGCAATAAAAATTAATTACTAAAACAAATTAAATTTTAAAACAGACATACCAAATGCAAGCCCAGATCATTTTTTTTTACTATCTTCACCACTTTTAAATGTACAGTTCAATGGCATTAAGTACATTCACTTTATTGTGCTACCACCAACCACCATCTAGCTCCTGAACTATTTTCATCTTGCAAAACTGAAACTCTGTACCCATTAAACAATCACCCCTTATTCTCTCCTCCTCCAGCCCCTAACAACCACCACTCTATTTTCTGTATCTATGAATTTGACAACTCTAAGCCAGACTTTTTGTTATTAAATTCCACAGACAAAATTTTTCTGTTAAATTGCTATAAAAGCTTCTAGGGGCACCTGGGTGGCTCATTTGGTTAAGCATCTGACTCTTGGTTTTGGCTCAGGTCGTGATCTCAGGGTCATGAGATCCAGCCCCACATCAGGCTCCTGGTCAGCAGGGAGTTTGCTTGAGATTCTCTCCCTCTCCTCCTGCGCCTCCCCCCACTCACACTCTCTCTCTCTCTCTAAAACAAATAAAATCTTAAAAAAGAGCTTCTAAATATTTACTCTCAATTTCTACCATAAATTGGTAACAAGCTGTTCACAGACCATCTCTAGTCCACAAATCACACTTTTGGTAGCACAATGCTAAGTCCCACATTGTTTCATTTCCTCGAAGACATCTATCCAGCAATTCTTCCTATCTTCTACATCGTCATTTTGTTTTTCTCTCCCATTGACATACCAACATGGACTTATTTCTTCCATCTCAAAAAAACAAAACCAGAAATACCTCTCTTGACCCAGCTTGACTCTGCAGCTCTTAGCCTGGCTCTCCAGCCTGCCCCATTTCTCTGCCCTTCTTTATAGCAAAACATCTCATAAGGGTGGCCCGTTACTATTCTCCTTGATGTCTTGACTTCCTTTTTCCCACTCTGTGGACCCATCCTCTACTACTCCACTGAAATGCTCTCATCAAGGCCACCAGTGACATGATTTATTAATAACAATTTTCACTCTTACTTGACCTACCATGAGCACTAGACACAGCTGATCGTTTCTTCCTCCTTGGCTACCATGGCACTCCACTACCCTGGATCTTCTTCTATTTCACTGGCTGCTCCTGGCTTCTCCACATTTCTCTGACCTCTAAACACTGTCTCAGTCAAGTATTGACTTTGATCTTTTATCTTTGCCATTTATACTCCTTCCTTGATGATCTTATCCCATCATATTAATTTAAATATGATCTATGGAGGGTTAATCCCCAAAATTACACCTCCACTCCAGACCTCTGTTCTGAATTTCAGATTTATATATCCAACTACCAACCACACACCTCCTCTTGTAAGTCTAGTAGATTTCTATTATTCATTAGTAGCCACCCAATAGACTTCCCCTCAAGTCCTATAGGCTATGAATAAACCAACAAACAGCAAAGGGAATAAGACTACCAATATTAGTTTTGACCAATCATGATTTCGTCTCTATGTCTGATCTGGGAGTCACCATACCTGAGGACCTGGTGGTAGTGGAGGAAAATCACTATTAAAAAAATTAGGGTTTTGGGCGCCTGGGTGGCTCAGATGGTTAAGCATCTGCCTTCGGCTCAGGTCATGATCCCAGGGTCCTGGGATCGAGTCCCACATCGGGCTCCCGGCTCAGCGGGGAGCCTGCTTCTCTCCTGACCCTCGCCCCTCTCATGCTGTTTCTCTCTCACTCGCTCTCTAAAAAATAAATAAAATCTTAAAAAAAAAAAAAATTAGGGTTTTGCCATCAAGAAAGAATGAAGCCATAGTTGATCTATAATCAATGACACAGAATAGAAAGTCCAAAAATATATCCAAATATGCAGAGCAATTTAGTATGAGAAAGGTAAAATTTTAGGTCAGTTAAAAAAAATAGTAGTATTTTTGGTATTAGAATAACGGCATAGCCATCTAGAAAAAATTAACTTGGATCTACACCTCACATTATTTACCAGGATAAATTTCAAATACACCGAAGATTTAAATGTAAAAAAAATGAAACTAAAAAATACTTGATGGAACCATGGGGGAAATTTTTATAATCTCGAAGTGAGGAAGGTCTTTTAAAATATATATTTTTAAAAATGTAATTGCTATAAAAGATTGACAAATTTAACTAAGTAGAAATAAAAAATGTTTGTAGGGCAAAAAACACCTTAATAAGAGTAAGATGACAAATAACTATAAGCATGTTTGCATTTCATATCATAGGAAATCAATAATTTTCATATTTATATACAGAGTGGAAATCACGAAGAACTAAAATACAAGGGGAGATGGGTGGGAGATGGGCTAAATGGGTGACAGGTATTAAAGAGGACACTTGGGGCACCTGAGTGGCTGAGTTGGTTAGGCGTCCACCTTTGGCTTGGGTCATGGTCCCACGGTCCTGAGATGGAGCCCCACTTTGGGCTCCCCACTTACCGAGGAGTCTGCTTCTCCCTCTCCCTCTCCCTGCCACTCTGCCTGCTTGTGCTCTCTCTCTTTCCCTGTCAAATAAATAAAATTTAAAAAAAATTAAAAAGTTAAAAAAAAAAAAAGACAGCACTTGTGATGAGCACTGGGTGTTGTATGTAAGTGATAAGTGATGAACCACTGAATTCTACTCCAGAAACCAATATTGCACTAAATGTTAACTAACAAAATTAAAAAAAAAAAATGCAAGGGGAAAAATATGCAAAAGACATAAACTGATATTTCATAGAAAAAGAAATAGAAATGGCTCTTAAATGCTTACTCTTACTTGTAATAAGAGAAATGCAAATTATAATTTGTTTGAAATGCTATTTTTCATCTATCAGATTGGCCAATATCCACAAGACTGATAAGATGCTGTGGTGGCAGGGGCAGTTTGACATGTATTCTTCTATTTTGTTTGTGGGACTGTAAATTGGAACGACTATGGAAGACAATTTGAGGGTGGTATTTATCAAATTTTTATTTTTTTTAAAGATTTATTTATTTGAGAGAGAAAGAGCGAGAGCACACACGCTGGGGTGGGGGAAGGAGCAGACGGAGAGAATCTTCAAGCAGACTCCCTACTGAGCCCTACAAAGTGTTCCATCCCAGGACCCTGAGATGGTGATCTGAGCTGAAACCAAGAGTCAGATGCTCAACCGACTGAGCCACCCAGATGCCACTATCAAATTTTTTTTTAAAGATTTTATTTATTTATTTGAAAGAGAGAGAATGAGAGACAGAGAGCATGAGAAGGAGGAAGGTCAGAGGGAGAAGCAGACTCCCCGCCGAGCAGGGAGCCCGATGCGGGACTCGATCCCTGGACTCCAGGATCATGACCTGAGCCGAAGGCAGTCGCTTAACCAACTGAGCCACCCAGGCGCCCACCCCTATCAAATTTTTAAGTGCACATTCCCTTTGACTCAGAAATTCCACTTCTAACAAGCTTTGTTTATAATAACAAAAGATTGGGAAAAAGTAATTTTTTATTAATAAACTGGTTAAATAACAGTGTATTCCTACAATACATACTCTCCTGCCACAAAGAAGAACAAGCAAGTTCTTTATGTAGTCATATCGAATGATTTTCAAGATCTATTAAGTGAAAAAGCAAGGTCTTTTTTTTCTTTTTAAAGATTTTATTTACTTATTTGACAGAGAGAGACACAGCGAGAGAGGGAAGACAAGCAGAGGGAGTGGGAGAGGGAGAAGCAGGCTTCCCGCTGAGGAGGGAGCCGGATGTGGGGCTCAATCCCAGACCATGGCCTGAGCCCAAGGCAGATGCTTAACGACTGAGCCACCCAGGTGCCCCCAAAAGCAAGGTCTTAATGTATATCACATACTGTCATTCCTGTAAGAAGTGATGGTGGTAATATATATACATCATTGCTTATATAT